GCCCCCCTAGAGTGCCAATATCTAATCTCAACTCGTGGATCACAGTCACGCAAATTCATCCAAGAGGGACGCTTGTTGGGGTACCTGAGCACGATCCTTTGCAACAAAACACAGAAGGTGGAATAGGCCTTATTGATAATTCTCTCAACATCGAGCTAGTTGTCGATTTTACGAATGGACAAAAGGAACAAGTGTTTACGGACTCTAAGGATGAGCTAGGAGAATTTGAGGAAGACTCTAATTCGGCGGCATCCGAAAACTCATCAGATTCAGATTATAATGTAGTGTAATGTGTAATCTTGCCAGATATAACTTCCTTATCAAATTGTTTTATCAAATTGTTTTCCATCTTTATATGTTTATGAATATATTATGTGTAATTTGCATAAATTGTATGACTTTGTAAATTTGTGTAGGAATTCACTGTAAAACATTGTACAAATAGTTGTTACTATAGGAAACATATTTTCACCAATTAACAAAACCCTAAAACCTAAAATCTGATTTTTCCGTCGAAATTTATTGGAAATCCGTCAGTAATATTCTTGAACCGACGGTTCAGGTTGTTGGAAACCGGTTGGTTTTATTTTCGCGGTTCACTTTTGYTTCTGCGGAAAAGATTTGGCGGTCCAATTTTCATGAAATTTTTTAAACCCCATTAATTTTATACTAAACCGACCGAGAACCGACATATTATGGTTATAAAATCATTAATTTTATTTGATGGGAATCATAAATAAGACCGAAGAAGATCTTTCTTCCTCATTAGTTGCCCTAATCTCTTCTCTCCCTTAAGCGATTCTCTCTGATTCCGGCAGCGATTCCTCTGTCGATCCGACAGCGATTCCTCTGTGGATCCGGCGGTGATTTTCTTCTTCTTTCTTCTCCTAATCCAACGCCTCACACGTTTTCGTTCCTCTATGTTCTTGCTCCTCTTCGATATTTTGTTTACGGGTTTTGTTAGTTTTACAGATTATTCATAGAATTAGGTGGTTTCTTTTACAGATTTGTATTCAATCTGATGATGCTCCTCGATTTTGTGTATGGGTTTTGTTAGATTTGGTTTGAATAGCTTGTGAATGAGATTTTTAAGATTTTTTATGATTTATATAATTTTAGGAACTTGAATGTTAGATTTTTGGGTTCACGATTGAGTGTTGTGGATTTTTTTTATTTTTTGGGTATATAAATGTTTGTTAATTAAGATTTTAGAATTTTTAAATAATTCTGGATTGTATAAAACGTTTTATGAAAATTAAATTGTAAGATTAAAACTAGTTTTTACAACATGCTCTGTAATTTTTTGTTTTCAAACGTTTTTAAAATTTTAAAAGAAATTATTGTTACTAATGTTTTTATGATTGTCGTAGGTCCAATTCTACTTCTGCTGGTCTTTCTAGACCCGTCCGAGGCGGTTCTCCATCTGAGGTGCCAGACTCACAGAGTTGCGCTAATCGACGCCATTTGTCAATCGAGGAGCTTGTCCAACAACCTGGCCGTCGCCATTGCACTCCACTTGATCCGTTCCTACTAGACCACATTTGGTAATTCTCACAACTGAAATTTTATTACTTTGTTTACCAAATTTTGTAATTTGATATTTTGATTTATAATGTTTTCAGGTTTAAATGTGATCCGGAAATGAAAATTAGTAAGCAAATTCTTGGGTCTTCAACAGTCAACTTGACAAAGTGTACGAGAAGCCCTCTGATATCCATATGAGCGAGATTGATATATGGTTTCGCACTTTTGCGGTAAGTTAAATTATTTCAAAAATTTGTATTTATGTGTGTTTTTCATGTTATTTAATTTAACTAATACATTTTTCGTCATGTGTTTTTTAGCAACACTTCACATGGGAGCCAGAGTTGACCGGCGAGTTTCGAAAAGGTTTCGAAACTCAGGTTCGACCTTCATACAAGCATCATAAATCTTCGTGGAAGAAGAAGTGGGACACGAATCAGCTAAAGAAGTCAACAAACTTGTCACCGGACGTTTGGAATGGCCTTGGACAGTTCTGGTCGAAGTCTACGACAAAAGTGCAATCAAAGAAAAACTCAAAGAACCGGTTGAGCCAACGAAGTGGGAAAGGATACTCTACACAGAACGGTGGGCTGAAGTCGATTGAAGAGAGCAAGCTATGGTAATATATTTATTATTTCGTATGTCTTTTCAATGTTTTATTAAAATATTACAAACATATGTTTTTGTCTTTGGCAGACAATCGCTAATAATGGTGTGCGGCCGCATTATGGGATCATGCTTAGGGACACGCACACAAACAGAAAGACCAAAGAGGTTTAGGATAAGCTAGCCAAAGAGACCCTTGCGGCAATTGAGGAGGAGCGCCAAACTCAGTTGACTCAACTATCTCATGGAGAGTTTAGCATGGAAGACTTTTCCCGTGATGAAATGAATCGTATCGTGTTGAGCGTAAGTATTCAATTCATTCAAATTTTTTTTTGAAAATTTCTAAATTTTGCACAACTAAGTTTTTTTTTATATTTGTTATAGCATATTCCAAGGAAAAAAGGACGTAAGTTTGGGGTTGGTCGACTTCCGGATCTAGACAAAACGTCGTCTTCTTTTCCATCTTATGCCTCTCCGCATCTTCAGAGTGAAATCGATAGGTTAAACGAACGACTCAACGAAGAACGTGAAGAACGAGAGAGGGAGCGGGCAGAACAAGAGAGGAAGGATAAGGAAAATGAAGTACAATAGCAAGTTTCGAAAAGATGAAGACATTCCTCAAAAAGGTTTATCCTAATGAAACGTTTTAGACTTTTGACCATTATAAATATTTTCAATGTTTTAGATTTGCATAACTAATTTTCTGTAATTTTTTGGACAAGTTCTAATATTTATTCGGATATAATGTTTTAGACTTTTGATCATTATAAATATTTTCAATGTTTTAAATTTGCATAACTAATTTTTTGTAATGTTTAGGACAAGTTCTAATATCTATCGGATGTAATGTTTTAGACTTTTGATCATTATAAATATTTTCAATGTTTTAAATTTGCATAACTAATTTTCTGTAATGTTTAGGACAAGTTCTAATATTATAAATTTTTAATAGACT